GAGAGAGAGAGAGAGAGAGAGAGAGAGAGAGAGAGAGAGAGAGAGAGAGAGAGAGAGAGAAATGGATTGTTTGGGACAGGGCTTGGCAAGATAGAGTACAGAGTCAACAAAAATATGAAGAAAGACTGATGAACTGTGCCAGACAGTGAACGTGGACAGGTCTTTCATCTCCTCAGAGCCCAGAAAGAATGTAAAGTAGGAATGTAGATTTCCACATTGTTATCCATATGGAAATCTTCCACCAGGAACCAATCTACAAGCTGACTTAGACATTCTACACCAGAGAAGCATTGGTACAACATCACATGAGCTGCATATCCAGATGTTAGCATGGTGATGGCATGGCAGGATGGATACAGGTCTCCAGGGAGGGAACTGAGTGACCCCAATGAGATGTTTGTAGCTTCTCTGCAGGCACTTCCTGAGTTACTAGGCAGGCCTGTGTGACACAGCCCTCAGGAGCCACCCGATTCACACACTACAAGTTCTATTGTGGCCCCTGCTCTGGTCAGAAAGGAAGGCAGACTGCAGACAGTGTCACTGCCCTGTCACCCAGGCTGAGGTAAGAGGAGCTCAGCCCCTCCTCAGCCTGCATCAAGGTGATGCATCTGTGCCTGTCCTGTCGAGACTGTCCCACCTTTGAACTGAGGGCTGGAACAGTTTGTGACATGAGAAGGTCCTTGGCTGTCTGTTGTCTTTGCACACCAACCTGCACAGTGACACAAACATCAAGGTGGAGCAAAGTAAGGAAAAGACAATGAGCCACAGACCTGGGTGGGGTCTTCACAGGGTTGGCTCATCCTGAAAGATCCCTAGATTCTGTTGTCTCTGTAATGATGGAATGATAAGTGCACAGTGATGGAACTGGGTGAGGATGACACCTCAAAGTGACCTTGCCTTCCCCACATGCCCCACCCCTTCCAGAGACTGCACTGAGGAAGAAGGAATGCTGACCCCCCCCCCCCTCCCCATCCCTGTAAGACAGAAACCACTGCACTGAAAAGCACCAGCATGAACGAGGAAGCGGCTCCTATCTGGGAAGGAGCCATTAGCTTTTCTTTGATTTTCTTAAATTAGCCATATTGATTTTCTTTGCAGGAAAAAAAGGCCAGCGTTTATTACCAGGAAAGCATTGGGGGAAACAATGGCTGGATGATGGGACAGCTTTTGGAAGATTTCGTGATGCATAAAGGCCAAGGTGGCCTGAGGCACCTGCTCCTTGGCCTATGCTGGTAAGGTCCATTTGGAGTGACCAGCTCTCTGGGCAGCAGCATATGATTGCTCCTTGTCTTGCCTTCCCTTGTATGTGACTGGATAGTTGTTCTCTTTGGAACTGGAGAGGTGGCCACAGCCCATTCCTTTCTCTGTACTTAGTGTGGGTCACAGGCCCTCTGGACAATGCCTGATTGCTGTTTATCTCCAACATCTCTGTGCATAAATAGATGTTTGTGTCCTTTGGGGCTGGCATGTGGACAGCAGCCCCTTCCACTCTTCATTCTCAATTGATCTGGGTCATAGGCTCTCTGGGCATCAACATCTAATTGCTGTTTGTCTCCAGTTCCCCTGTTCCTACATGGATGGTTGTTCCCCTTGGGAGTGGGGAGTTGGTCCAAGTCCATTCCTCTCTTCACTGTTCTGATGCTGATCACAGGCTCTCTGGGCACCAACACCTGATTGCTCTAACTCCCCTGTGCATGAATGGATGGTCGTATCATTTGGAGCTAGTGTGGTGACCACAGCTCATTCTTCTCATTGGCTGGCTTTTCTTTGGGTCATAGAAACCCTCAGAAGAGTGAAAAGAGCCACTCAGCTGGGATGTCAGAGGTTCCACTTTACACCATTGTCCCTCTGATGGGTCCCATTAAGGCCCAGCCAGTTCACCAGGATCTGTACCACAACATTCATGATGTATTGCATTTCAACTACCATACTACAGTTGAGCTTTTCTCTTGTGACTTACTCCTGGGTCATTACAGTAGCTGATGGGGATTTTTCACTCTTCAGAGAATCCCCTGCCCCTTGTCTTTTGTGCTGAGGTTGAGATATTGTAGAAAATCCTTATGATTTTCTTCAGATAACTTTCTGGCAGAGCCTGTCCCTCTCCTGGCATATCGAGGGAGGACCGACTCTCACTCATGGCTGTATCCTTGAGCTGGGTGAATGTGGAGGTGTATGCCAATGCCATAGCTGGCGAAGTATTGATCCACATGTGGCAAGAAGGAAATCTGCTTCAACACAACTCAGTAGCTGGAGTTGGTTCAAACTTTTAGGGTCTAACACTGGACAGTTTATTTTTTAGGTATTTAAGTACAGTACAACTTTGTAAAAAGTTTCCTGATAATTATCTCAATCCCATGTGCACAATAAAATTTTAAGCTTAAAGCATGACTACATTGAAACTCTTTGCAAATACATGTGGCCTACACCACAAAGATGGGCTCTATTGTTGGGGAATATTATTTTAAGGTATGTTACTTTTGTTTCTGTTGCATTTGTTTATCTCTGTGAAGCTGTGTTACTGTGCCTGTCTAAAACACCTGATGGTCTAATGAAGAGCTGAACGGCCAATAGTGAGGCAGGAGAGAGAAATAGGCAGGACTGGCAGGCAGAAAGGATAAATAGAAGGAGAAATCTGGGAGAAGAAAGAAGTAGCCAGAGAAGGAGGAGGACTCCAGGGGCCAGCCACCCAGCTACATAGCAAACTATGGAATACGAGTAAGATTTACAGAAATAAGAGAATGGGAAAAGCCCAGAGGCAAAGGGTGGATAGGATAATTTAAGTTAAAGAAATCTGGCAAGAAACAAGCCAAGATAAGGCCGGGCAATCATAATTAAGAATAAACCTCTATGTGTGATTTATTTGGGAGCTAGGTGGTGGGCCCCTCAAAAGAGTAAAATAGTAAAAACAAACGATTTATAGCTATACAGGAAGATCTTGTATGGTCTCAGTCATATAGACAGCCTAGAGGTCACCAACCTATAAACTATTTGTGATGTCTCCCCTTATGTTGGGTTCTATTGACTGAGAAACAAAGCTAAAGATAAAGTCCAGGGAGGGAGAGTCTGGGATAAACATAATAGCCTAGGGGATTCAGGTGTGTCCCAGCCCTACAGATAGCAGAGCTCGCCAGGCTGTTAACTGCATCCACTCCAGCCCTCTGGATGGAAAACAGGTATCCATCTCCTCCACTAAGGAGACAATCCTGTGTGTTTGACATTCCTGGTTTCTCTAGTGCTTATCTGTGAGCATGAAGAGCGCACGTCCTTCTACATCTCCCCATTTCTAAGCTTTAAGGAAAAAATAATAGCTGTAATAGAGGCCATGGTTGAATGCATTGCCTTTCTGGCTAGTCTAATTACACAGGCAAGCACAAGAGAATTTTAAGAACAGCTAACAGAGGACCAAGGAAAGGGGAAAACCATCTGAATTATGATGGTCATTAAAGGGTCATGAGGGATTTTCTCTATCTCTTTATGCTAAACATTAATTCAACCAAAAATAGTATGGGGAAAATATGACACATTAAAGCAACACATGCCAGAAAATTCTTGACACCCAAGATTATGCTGGAGCAACAAATATCTATTCTGCGAAACTGTGGTCCTCAGTTCACCATCTCTTGATTCATGTCTGCTAATATGTTTGCTATAAGCGCAGCAGTATTACTGATCATACTGGTTACTTCTGAGCCCTCTCTTTGTATTCTAGTAACCGTTCCTGGGATAGGGAATAAAAAAGTCCTCATGGCTGCAACCATTACAGAACCCAATAGATGCAAAGAATCATCACAATGTCAGGGAGAACACTCTTCATTCTATTGATCGATTGCAAAGATTTACTGAGAAAAGTGGGTCTATTATGGCCTGTCCCACATAAACCTTTATAACCCACAAGAAGGGCAGTCAAAGATGCATTTTCACACACAAAATGTGAAAAACCAGGGGTGCTGCTTGAAGTGCAAGGCAAGGCTTTGGCCCTAAAACTGGGGCCCTCCTTGTTGGGGTCGTGTATTTTACGTTTTGCTGGGTCCTTCTTTAAGGGCATCCCTGAGGGCGTAGTCTCCATCATCTGACTCGACTTGTAGCTTTTGTAGTAGAGGATGGAGGGCTGGGCAGGCTGGGGGAGTTCAGGCTTGTCCTTAGACTGGCGACGACTGTTTGCTGGGAAGCGTCCCTGCAGCTGCGTCAGTTCCTGGGATGGGAGAAACCTGAAGGGGGGGCCTTGTATTCTCACCTCCATCATCCTGTATTTACTCTGTGGCTCCTCATGGTGCTGGAGGAACTGACAATGGTCAGGAGGGATGGAGGCCGACCTGATAGCTTCAGCGGGTGGGATGTCCCTGGGCAAGTTGTGAGTGGGCCGGCTAATGGCTGCTTGATGATTTTGGACATTAGAGCCTATGGTGTCTTTCCACTCCAGATCCTGCTGCCAGGGATGGTTTTCAGTCAGGAGGGATGCCAATACCTTCATCTCAATGTTACAACATGTTGTTCCACTGGCCCTACTTGTGGATGCAGAAAGTGCTTGGTTTGATGCAGAGCTTGGGAGGCTGTTGAGTGTCTGGACCTCTGTCACACCCACCACGTTTGGTGTCACAAGTTGGTGGGGCAATCGCTGGGCCTGAGAAATCTGTGGAGGTCCTTGAGCAGGAGGTAGAGCTGGGAAAGGATCAACTGTATCACTGAACCTCACGGTTTTATGTCTTGCAGAGCAAGGCCTCTTGGAGACCCAGGCAGTAGCCACCACTGACTCAGAGAGCACAGAGGACATGCCCCAGAAAATCTGGCTAAATTTCCTCTGTATAAGATCCTCCAAGACCTTGAGGTAAGACAGCAGCTGAGAGAGGGGAGCTGATCCCGTTTCTCATTAGAGTTTCAAGAGGAGCATGGCATAGAGTCCAGGAAAGTTGCTTGATGGGGCTGCAGAAGACAGGAGGCAAAAGCATCAGCTCCAAGCAGAGTGACCGGTCAAGAGGCCCATCAATCGGTATAAATATGGCACCTGTATCCACTACCTACATATCCCACCTCTGTCCCTTTGTAGCTGTGATATATTGCAATTCAACTCGACATGGTGTATACTCTATGAATTGCCCCAGACCCTAATGACACACCCTGAGTCTTGGTATAAATAATCTCAAGAGAGGCAGATCCTTACATTTTCCCAGGTTGTGGTGCATTCTGGGTGGTCTCCACATTCTTTCTGCCATCCTACAACCTGGAAATAACCATCTCACAGGTATGATGATATTTTATTTGTACTAAAATGTGATTTGTATGTTAATAAATAAAGTTGCCTGGGGGTCAGAGTTAATAGCAAACCTTAGCAGAAGCTGGGCGGTAGTGGTGCATGCCTTTAATCCCAGCTCTTGGGAGGCAGAGCTAAGGGGATCTCTGTGTGTTCAAGGATACAGCCAGCATGGAGATACATGCCTTTAATCTCAATACCAACCATAGAAGATCTGGAGGTCTGTACAGACAGGCAGTGACTAGGAGTTCATGTGGTTGGGTTTACAACCAATGAGAAGGCAGAACAAAAACACTATAAAAAGACAGACACACAGGAAGTAGCTCTCTTTCGGAGAGGTAGTGCAACAGCGACAGTGAAGGGTAAGATTTTTAGCTCTTAGCTGTTGCTCTGACTGCTTGGCTTTCATCTCTGTATTGGCTTTGTGTTTCTTATTGAATAAGACGATTGGTTACATCTACACACAGGAGATGTTTTTTTTTTAAATATTTAGAAATTTTAAAAGATTTTTTAAAATCTCTCTTAAAGACCATCCATGCGAGGACTCTGATGCCAACCGCCAGTGTGCAAGCACACGGGACACTGAAAATGAGCAGGTGGCATGGAGGGACCAGATCTCTCCATTACACTCTCCTCGCTCCTCCCTCAACCCCTGTCATCCCCATACAACACCATGAGGGACACTGGACCAGTCATCTGAAAGAGGGGTGGGCCAGAGAGAACTGCAGCTACCTGTTGTCAGGTGGACCTGGGAGTCCCCCATACACAGGCACAGCATCACTCCACGGCCTTGAACCGCACCCCCATGGGCAGCACCCACCCCAGGCCAAGCACAGCTTCCTTCTATCCAGGACCTGGGGAGTTTCCCTGATTCTGATTTCCTTCCCAGCAGCCTCCTCTTCTTTCTCGGTGTTCTACATCCGGTATCCTCAGAAACATGGCTCTCATCACTGAGGGGCAGGGCAGATGGAATGGCCTCTCTAGAGGAAAGCAGAAACCTACCTTTTACAGAAGCATTTTTCTTCCTGGTCTTGCTCTGCCTCCTCCTCCTCACCTGACAGTGAGAAAGGACAAAAATCAGCTGGGCCCATTCTTCCTCTAATTGACAAGCTGCCTGCCCTCTGTGCTCATGGATAACGTGAAATCCACATTTCCCAGGAAGCTTTCTCTCATCCACCCTTGACTCAGTTGTACTGTGCATGAACACATTTATGTTTTATCTTTTGGAAAACACAAGAAGGGGCTGTCTATGATCGACCTGGCTTGATGGGACACCGTCAAAACGAGAGAAACAAATGGAGAGGTGCAGTCTCTCCTTGGGGGTTCTTGTGCTCCGGCATCCAGGGGGCTTGGAGTTGTTCCGGGTAGCAAAGGGACCTTTTGGATAGGAAGCTGTTTGCCTGCAGCTCTGTTTTCTTCCTTCCCAAGCTCATAATTTTGGTGGGAGCTCTTACCAAGTTCACGGCCTCATCAGGAGTTTTGCGGACTTGCTGACCCCTTGTCCCGAGGCCTCCTGCCCTTAGCTGCAATTACCACTGTGTCAAGTATTCCTTCAGGGAGTCTCAGCTGCCTGAGGCTCTTAGGTTATCAATCCTTCAGTCTATGTCGCACTTAGATGGATGTCCTCAGTCAGTGTTCCTCAGACAGGATCCCACCCAAGGCTGAGCCCTGCTGCTGCCTCTGGGCTGTCATGTAAGATCTGCTTCCTCAGACCAGAGGTCTGACCTGAGTCTTCTACCCACCACACCTCAACTCACTTGCATTTGTCCATTTGGGTCAGGCGAAAGACACTGAGCAAATGAGCCTTTCACACAACATGGGGGCCCACCGTGCCAACAGAACTGATGGCAGAAAGGATGGCCTGTCAGGAGCTCTGGAGTTGAGATCTGAACTCCAAAACACAGTCAGAGGCCACACAGAATTATGGCGAGGGCCAAAAGGCCTGGCTCCTAAGTTCCGTGATGCCACCCTAGAAAGCCCGTGCTTTCCCCAGGAGCAGACTGCGCACCACTCCTAAGTTGGTCCAGAGTGTGCTCCTGTGAGAGACAGACACTTGTGGGCTACATGAGGAGGATGTATGTAAGAGCTCTAGTGCTGGTCTTCACTCCCACTGTCAGGGTAAGGACGTGCAAGTGGCCATGGGAGAGTGTGCTGGGCTGGTGGGTCGGCTGCTTTCCTCTCTTTTCTTAGGGAGGAGTTCAAAGTCACCAACCCAGGGTCCCGGGCAGTGCAGACATCACTGTGGTACAACAAAAGTTCTCAAGCCTAGTGGGAAGTATCTCTGTGCATACCAGAGACTAGCCCTCTCTCAGAGACCACCATCCATGCTGAAGCTCTAGGCCATCTGGCCTGTTCCCTGTAGGGCAATCGCACCTATCTTTCTCTTTTCTCAGGCTCTGGTTTCATTAAAGGGAACAGGACCAAAGACCTGACTCAAGCCCACTCTGACCCCCTGAGCAAGCTGCTCAGTGTCTCTGCCTCTGTTTCCCCTGTGCAACTCACCTGGCAGTTAGAATTGTACAGTGGGATGTATACGTACCAAGAGAGCATGGCTTCCATTCCATACTGATGGGAGAGCATATGGCCATTCATTGTAATATTGTCTGGTCCTCCACAAAGGACAGAGGGTCAGAGTGTGGACCTGCGGCCTGGCTCAATAGGTCCTCTTTCACTCTTCAGCAAGGCTAGCCATTATGCTTTCCCCTGGGGGTTGTGAGAGGCCGGCCTCAACAACCTCCTGTTTCCCTTCTTTACACTTGGGCCAGTATCAAGTCAAGACCAGGCTTCACCAACTCACCTTCTACCACAGGCTGGCACTTAGTGAACTTAATGTCATCGTCAGTAGCGAGAGTCCCATAGAGTAGACCCCTGCATTTAGCATGGGTGGCCTGTTAACTCAAGGAGCCACTCTCTACCTGAGGGTACCCAGTCCACACTGCAGACACCTCATTCCTCAGGGCTCCACACAGCACCACTGGCCACAGTCCCAGTCCCACGGCCATCAGTTTCCCTGTAGGCCTGATCCCAAAGATGGCATTGGACACGAAGTAGACCAGTGACTGCTGGCCTCGTGAGGGCTGCTGTGTCCAAGGCCTGGCAGGGCCTGCTTATCTTTCCAATGCATCATGTCAGTGGTCCAGTCCAAGTGAAAGTCCAGGAATCCCTTGGGTTGGTAGGAAACATCAGAAGAGCTTGTGGAAGCATGGGGCAGGAGGAGAAGACACTGCCACAGGGGCCTGGACAAAGGGGGGCTGAGAAGACAAAGACACAGATGGCAGCAGCTATCTGAGGCTGGCCCAGACAGAGCAAGAGGCATGGTCTCCACCTGATCATGGGGCTCCCTTTCTCCTTTCCATCCACATCCTGCCTCTCCCTCTCCTGCCCATGACAGGAGCAGATTTCCAAGGCCGCCTCCTATGAGTGCGCCCCGATGCCAGGCACTGCTTTCCTCATGGCTGCCTATGCCCTGCCCCTTCCAACTCTCCTCTTTGGGGGGCTTTTGCCCTGCTCTTGCTTGTCCATGGCCTCTGCACCACCCAACACACTCATCCCTTTCCCTCTCCTCAGAAACTAGAATTTCCTCGGGACAGACTGTCTGCCTCCCCACCCACTTCATTCTCTCTCTTTCCTCTCCTCCCTCCTCCCAAATACTTCCCTTTCCCTCTCCTCTCCCCATCCCTTCCTCTACCCCTCCTCCTCTGATGCCCTCCCTGTTTGGACTTACATGATGTTTGTATTTCTGTCAGATGCTGGTCAGTGAGAAGGCTGTTGAGCCTGAAGGGATCAGGCTGGTGAAAAACCTGAGCCTTGTAATGTCTCAGTTCTGTTTCCAGAGGTGACTGTTGGGCTCTGTGGGTGCCCAGTCCCAGAGGCACTTCAGGACCCAGGGGTGGGTGATGCTTCATCCGGTGGACACCATGTGAACCGTCTCTCCATGGCTCCAGCACATAGCCCTGGGGCCACTGTGAGCTGAAACAGCCGGAACTGTCAGTTCAGGCCCAGCAGCCGGAGGAGTGACACAGGGGGTTGTCCGTAATTCCTGTTGGTATCTAATGGGTGTGTAGGCAGACAGCTCCCCGGAGTTCTGTCCTGATCCTTCCAGTGGCTCTCAGTCCACACCAGGTCGATCACAGACCCACGGTTCAAGAACCATAGGACTGGACATGCTCCCTTGGAAGAAAACACATGGAAAGGATTCTGTTGGTGACTGACACAGACAGGACTTAACACAAGCTGCTCTGCTGTGCCACAGTGCTCCACCTGACTCCTCCCTTTGCCAAACCCTCCTCCCTCCCTCTCACCCCTAGTCACACCCTCTGCTGTCTACCTCTGGCTCAACTTTCCCAGATTCTACATCAGAAAGAACAGGGGGAGGCACCTTCTAAGGTGAAAGACATCATCATTCATATCCTATGATGGGTACAATCTGCAAAGAGCCCGTAAAAAGCAAATATAAAATAAGAGGTATCATGGTGGTCCTGCCTATTTGACTTCCTGTGGACTCCACTGCCCTCGCCTTTCATTGTAGCCTCTTACCTTGCGGATGTAGTTCTTCTCTTTGGGTCTGGGAGGCAACTGTATGATGTTCTAAGCACAGGAACCCATCTCCTCAAACCCTCTCCACCTGTGGCAGCTGGACTCGGAGGCTGTGGCACAACCTGGGGCTGGTCCCTGGCGAGACTTGGCCCAGGATGCTTCTTGGGAAGACAAATCAATGTCACTTTCATCAGCCCCTGTGGTTCTTCATATCCTAGGGTCATGCCAGGGAGGATGGATCATCCAGTAGGTTGTCACGGGATGTCATGCCAGTATTAATCTCCCCCAGACTGTTGTTTGTGATGTTGGTACCATGGTATCCTGCTGGCCTGGATCACAGCGTTCTCTTCTCCAGGCAGCTTCTGCAGCGTTACCCCCTTCCTTTCTCATCGTCCTCCTACAATGAGCTCTTTCCAGATGAGAGGAAAGTAAGAAAAGCAGGTTCGTGTCCCCTCTTCCCCAGGGAAAGAGGTGGAGAGGGCCTGCTGGGGTCACTTCCAAACAGGGCTGCACTGACTTCAATGCTGGTGACAAGTGTATCAATGGCTCAGACAATGTTGCAATATACTGTATGTTGCTTCACCTCACTAAACTTGCTGTTCCTTGCTGATGTCACAGTTTCCTGGAGGTTGTATCCCATGGTGCACAAGGCTTCCACAATGCTAGTGATTGGGATTCTGGGGGCTGTTTCTATGGAGGCTAGTGGTAAACCTTCTTCACAATAATATAGCCACAGATTCCCCTTGAGCTGGCCTATAGTCATCCTGTACTTGAGCAAGTATGCAAGGAGATGTTGCATGCTTTTAGACAGGTTTGGTGGAATCTGGGAGTGTATGGCCATGATCAGGCTGTGCAGATCTGAAGGGGTTGATGCTTTATGTGGTATGCAACTGATGGCCATATTATAAATCACTATGCCAAGGCACCACATGTCAATGGGAAGTCCCTGGTAGTCTCTACCCTCCAGTCAGTGTCTTGTGAGCTAAAAAGGAAAGATGGTCATGGGCCTCCTTTGGCTTTTGCTGAAGTCAATGGCGACTTCTGTAGCCAACCCAAAGTCACTGTTTGGCATTTCCTGTCCCACCCACTATGATATTCTCCAGTTTTATTTCTAGGCGGTCAATGTGTCTTTCATGAATATAATTAATGCTGGCACCATCTGGTGGAAAATGAGGTATGCCTCCTCTTCCTCCGTATAGCCAATGCCTCTGTGATACTCTCCGGATCCTCCTTGATGCAAATTTCATGATCAAATAAGGCTTTGCTGATGTGTCAGTTAAGAAGAGTTAAATGATATTTGGATGTTTTGGAGATTCCATGAGGTCCACCTCAGTGGTGATGCTGGAGGCCTTGTTGACGCCCCTGTGCAAGATCTCCACAGCTACCTGCATGTCTGTGTGGATGCAGCAGACATGCTTTCTGCAAATGTGCCACAGACAAAGATCATTGAGATCCTGTCATTATCTTGGAGGGTTTCCTTATCAGAGGGGCTGGCCTTGAGCTCCTCCTCCACTGCCGATATGCTAACTTGTAGAGAATGACATCACTGTCCAATGCTAGATAAAACAAACAAGCAAACAAACAAATAAAGCAGATCCAGGAGAGGAGCTCATGGCTATAAATTTCTATATCATAAAAACCAAAGTTATCTTGAACAACCAAATGATGCATTTCAAAGTTATGGAAAAGTAAGAACAAACCAAACACCAGAGCACAGTCAACAAAAAAGAATAAAGGTCAGAGCTAGAATTAATAAAGATGATCAAAGTTCATTACATGCATGTATGGAAATGTCACAATAAAATCCCTTATCTTGTACAGTTAATATATACTAACGCAAGTTTTAGAATAAAAAAGAAAGCAAAGTAAAAAGATGACAAGCCTAAATAGTTTATGTGGTGGTTTGAATGAGAAAAATGCCCATAGGCTCATACATTCAGCATTCAGCCTCTCGTTGGTGGAACTATTTGGGAAGGACTAACTAAGATATGTCTCACTCAGACTCTGAGGTTTCCAAGTCCAATCTTTCTCTCTACTTTGTGGTTGTGTTTCAAAATGTGAGCTCTCGGCTACTACTCCAGTGCCATGCCTGCCTGCCTGCTGCCATGCTCCCTGCCATGACAGTCATGGACTCTCACCCTCTCAAACTGTAAGCTCTAAA